TCTTGGGTGGCATAAATATAAAATGCAAAGTTTAGGTGTTGGATATGTAAAGACATGGGAATTTGAGTGGTACGGATGTAAATGCTCAAAAGAAATAAGAGAGTCAAAATCAATCTTTTACTTAGAATAATCATATGGATCATAATATATAGAAAAAGATCTGAAAATATCACCTGCTTTGTACGTTCTATTTTAGCCTCTTCGTTGAGATTTGTTCGAGCGGTCTTGATTCAATGTGTTGCAATATGATGTACGTACGAGTACGTGCATTTGTGATTAAGCTTGAGTTCTTACTTCTATCATAAGGGGGATAGGGTAGAATAAGTCTTAGTTCTGGATTTAATGCTCATTCTTCGATCCCATGAAGTTAAACGAAGCAATTCACGCAATCTTGGGATCACTATCAAAAATGAAATTGTCTGATGATGAATGCTAATATGGATGATTTTTCTGATCATATATTCAGATCAAGGAGCTTGATAAAGAGTCGTCCACGACAGAGTTGTATGTCTTTACACATCGGCGCGCGAGCACACAATAGTGGGTATTCAATCAGTCTTGGTGTATCAATATTTGTTTTAAAAAATTAATGTTCTAATTTTTAAGGGGCTATTAACATGCCAATTAATGTTTAAAATGTTAATTAATGTTTGAATTTTGTTATGCAGAAGGAGTGTGAGCAGTTTTGGGAGAGACAGAGAGTGATTGTTTGTTAGATCTCATTGGTCGTCAATAGTAGTGGGGGTCAGTTTACCGCTGTTCAGTATGATTTTGAGTTATTGACGCAGACATCAGAGAATAATAAGGGGAGAGTGTACGACCTTAGTGCAAAAGGGGTGGCGTTTGAGGTCAAGCATGCCCTTGTAGTTGTGGGTAGCCCTAGCTTGTTACAGGCTCAGCATGAGGAGCTTGTCAGGTGGGTCATGATGATGAACGAAAAACCCTAACAGGTGTAGTTGCATATAGTCTAGTACGTCTGACGGGGAGTTTTGATCGTCAGAGCAAACAACATATGAGTGATGTTGAGGAGGAGCATAATGATGATGAGGAGGAAGATTATGTTCCCACGACAGAGGGGCTGATATATATTTTTTATCATTTATGTATAATCGAACTTTCAGATTTTGTGAACGTTGAGCCCTTTAATTGGTTTATCTTTAATTTAAATTTGGTATCATTATTTAGATTTGTTAGAACTTTCTTTTATCATTTTTTTATGATATATAAATATTATGGTTGTTAGAAAATTCATCTTTCAACTTTATACACAAATTTCAAAAGAAAAATACATAAAAACCAAGATCTTTTAAATTCATGATTTTTACATATGTAAAATAAAGTGACGCATACCTGTATTCATGATGAACAAATTTGATCTTGAAGAGATGGAGTTTCTCTCTCTAATCCCTTAAAACTTTCTGTACTTTCTGATGGAGAGAAATGTATGAGGTGTGTTAGTTAGAGAGAGGACCCATTCTCAAATTCATGCTCTATTTAACCACCATCCATCAAAGGGGTTACTAACCAATAAGATTTATGATAATTTAATAAATTAATTAATTTTTATTAATAAAATCAATGACATAAGTTAGTAACATTTATTTATTTTATGGGTTATATGAGTTACAAAAATAAATATCATAAGTTATCATAAATTATGACATAAGTTATGAGTCAAGAAAATAAATAACTTAAGCAACTTAAGTAAAATAAACAACTTAAGTTATCAAAATAAATATCATAAGTTGTCATGATTTATGAGTTATGAGTTAAGAAAATTAATGACTTTGCTAATAGTTTGCTATCCAAAATTTATGTCATTTAGCTTCCAATTTTGTGCTTCTGGCAAAAGAATGTGAATGTGGGATTTGAGTTATCAAAAATAAATATCATAAGTTATTAAAATAAATGAGAGTCATAAATAAAAATATAACAATGGTATGTTGTGTGTGTTTGTCATGTACATTTATGTGGAAATCTAATCGTCTTGTTGTATTTTTTTTGTTGCAAATCTGTGCTAGATTAGCGTTGGAATATTCCAATGCTAATTACTGCAAGTACCAATACGATAAAAGATGACGCAAGTTCGAGGCTTTTGTGTCAAACAAGGTCGACGCAAATTAGGGTCAACCATGTTCGACGCAAAAGCGACTTTTTTTTTTACATTGCCCATTTTTTCCGACGGAAATTTATAGAGTCAAAATTTTTTGATACAAATTCAGACGCAAATATGCGACATAAATGTTGACATAAAATGATTTAACGACGCCCGTAGTATCTTCACTTCATATGCAGTTTTCACCTTCCCCCTCTCCCGGTTTCACCTACAACCATTGCCTCCATTCGTGAACCCGATTGACACGGCTGGGTGGGAAGGCAACGATGGGAATCTTGCGCACGTAGACCTCCTGTTGTGAGATATGTACTTCCTGACATAAAAATGAAACACAAATAACACAAGCAAACACAGATCGTTTACATGTTTCGATCCAACTGGATCTACGTTCACGGGAGGGAATCAATCAAATAGTTCACTAAGGCAAAAGAAATGAAGAATACATAGCTTATACATAGAGATGAGTCCTCATCTTCCTTCTATGACCTCCCTCTCAAGCGACACCTTGATACAAGGCCTCAAGATGCTCTCCTCCTCTCTAGCTCTCTAGCTATTCTCTCCTCCTTTGTGGTAGCTTAAGATCTCTTCCCTTTCACCCCTAGCCCTCACACCCTCTCTATTTATAGAACCAAGAGAGTGGTAGGTGGGAGGTAGGTGGGAGGTAGGTGGGCGGTAGGTGAGCGGTAAGTGAGATGTGGTAGGTGGCGGTGCCACATTACAAAATTGTCCTTTTATCTTAGTTCATTAATTGGGGGTTAAAATAACACCTCCAAAACTCCAATTTTTCTCCTCATTTTGACCCAATTCTGAATCAACTGAGGAAAGAAACCCCCTTCTTTCCCCCTTTTCCTTCCCATTGATTTTGTGTATTTTATTTTACCTTATCTAGATCTCATAAATGTGGCTTCCAATGGGATTTAGTAAATCCTTGATTCAAGAGAAAATGGGATTTAAGAACATGTAGGGTTTAAAGAAGCCATTTTTGCTATTTGGTTGGATTTAAGCTAAGTCCTACAACCGATGTGCCATTTGGGTTTAGGTGCCTTGAAGCAATTAAGTACATAAAAAGCACTCCAAAGCATGCTATCTACATAAATAGCACTTTCTTTCATCCATTCTCGCTCATATATATATATATATATATATATATTAAAAATCATGATAAAACAGCTAGGCATATTTTTCAACTGAGGATAAAGTTGATACACGTTTGGTAATTGCGAACCAGTTCACTAATAAGTTTTATGAATTAGCAATAATTTTGATGATTAGCGTTGAAGTCGAGGATAACAAAATAATTAATGAATCAAATCATGCATGGTTTCATGAGCTTTATTCTCCTTAAACTGGGGGCAACCCAGTTCACTTTACCGTTCGTCATGTTTTTTTTTAATAGTGTCGATTATTGATAAACAAAACTAAGTACATTAATCAGCGAATTATTATATAATGCATGAAGAATATTGATGCATATTTGCATTTTACCACTAGCTAGTATGAGCAGCCAACCTTAATTATGTACTCAACATTCATATACGTGGAATTAATAAATAAAAGGAGCATTTACAGGCATACCACACAATTCTTATGTATTTACATATCTACCCCTAAACATTCATATTTACATGCATAACACTCAAACCCTCAACATCGTACAAAAAATATCACAATAATTATCATTTTAAAAGTAAATGCACCTTTGCATGCATAGGTTTTATGACACTATGTACTGAATCCTTTTAGGACATAACGTTCCGTATTGTTCGTGGGCTCAAACGATCGAAGGAAGATATGAGAGAACCACTTATGAAGATGATGAGAACAATAACTTATATTATGAATTTGATCATACATGGATATGCATGGATCATGTATGATGATGTGGAGTGAACCAGGTGATAAGTCAAATAGGTCCACGAGTTTTGGTGCGGGCCAGGAAAACCCATAACCTCTATCGTCGGCCAGTGATAGTTAATTATTCATAAACACCGAGATTTCATAAGTGTAAATATCAAAATTTGAGTTACGTAAGAATTGTGTGGCATGTGTATAAATTTCCCGAAATAAGAATATTTGAATCTTTTTGTTAATTCTAATTTTATTATATGTAAATAGAATGTTATGTTTGAAATTATAGCACATTGGTTTTATTCATGATTTATCAAGCATTCATTATGAAAATAGGATCTCATTTGATAACTATTTCATAAAATAAGTTTTTCAACATAAGATTAAATTAAATTCTAAATAAATGTTTATTTAGTTTTAAAAAAACTAATCTTAATGCTAATTAAAATAAATATTTAAATAGTTCAAAATATTTTAAAAATAAGTAATAATCTAAAATTACTCCTTATGTTTTTCTTCTATTATATTATAGCAACTTACACGGAAGTTATGGGCCTAAGCAGAGTGAAATGGCAGGAGACTTTTTCATTTAAAAACAGTGGCAAATGTTCATTACTTTTTAAACCCTTTAAATTATCACAATTTCAGAAATGTATTTTTGTAAGGTTTTTTTATATTTGTTTATTTTTTCTATATTTACATAAGTTGTCAGAGCAACATTGCTCAAATTAAAGAGACGCTTGAGGGCTAATACATGTATGCCTTTAATCCTTTAACCGAAAAAGTATGAAAAAGGATTAAAGATGATTTTTTGAATATTAATGCTTGCTGATGTAGTGATGTCCTTCCATGCAAACTGCTCAATCACACGAATCTTAACATATATAATTTAGGAAAATTTAAGAAAAAATTCATATGATGCATAATTGTCTTAATATTGTTAACATAAGACAATGCCAGATAAAAACATTGATTAAATATGAAATAATTAACAGAAAAAAAATTAGTGCTTTCTCTTTCCTTTATGATTCTCCTATGCTTCCACTGTGCTCAATGATTCCACAGTCACTCTCCTTCTCCTTCCTTTGAATATATTATGTCGCAGGCTTCCTTCTTCCCACCTTCAACAGAGAAAAATGTCTATCAGCACTATCTGCTTCCTCTTCTTCTTCTTCCTCTGCTCCTTCCTTCCCCACCTCTCTCACTCCCTCCAATCCCAATCAAGCTTCCTCTACCTCATGCAACAATCTCTGTCTGGCATCACCAGCAGCTGGAACTTCAACACTAGCAACCCCTGCAACTTCTCTGGCATCACTTGTGATGACGAAGAGCACCAAAACATCATCCAAATCGACCTCTCCTCCTCCTCTCTCGCCGGAAACATCCCTCCCGGCATCTGTTCCTCCCTGCCGCTCCTCCGCACCCTCCGCCTCGGCTTCAACAACATCCTCAGCGGTTTTCCAATTGACGTTCACAACTGCTCGCACTTAGAAGAGCTCAACCTCACCAACTCTGGCGTCACAGGAACCATACCTGATTTATCCAGCCTCAATTCTCTCCGCTCACTCGACCTCTCCAATAATCTCTTCTCCGGCGACTTTCCACTCTCCATAACAAACCTCACCAATATTGAAGCTATAAATTTCAATCAAAATCCCACCTTTAATGTTTGGCGGCTGCCGGAAGCCATTACGGGGCTAAGAAACCTCAGGGTGCTGATTCTTTCGACAACTTGCATGCGAGGGGAGATACCTCCATGGATTGCTAACATGACCTGGCTCACTGATCTTGAGCTGAGTGGCAATTTGCTTGTCGGAAGGATTCCGGCAAGTATCGGAAGAATGGAGCATCTCCGGCTACTGGAGCTGTATTATAACCTGCTCGAAGGAGAGATACCGATGGAACTTGGAAATTTAACAGAGCTTGTTGACATCGACTTGTCAGTGAATAGGCTCACCGGAAGAATACCGGAAAGTCTTTGCCGGCTGCCGGAGCTTGGAGTTCTGCAGCTTTATAGCAACAGACTCACCGGAGCTATCCCGCCGGTGCTCGCGAACTCCACTTCTCTTACAATTCTGTCGGTGTACCAAAACTTACTCTCCGGCGAGGTGCCTCCAACACTCGGCAAGTTCTCTGAGCTGCTTGTGCTTGAGCTCTCAGAGAATCAGTTCTCAGGGGAATTACCAAGAGATACTTGCGCGGCAGGCAAGTTGCTTTGTTTCTTAGTACTTGACAATCAGTTTTCCGGCGAAATACCAGAGAATTACGTGAGATGCTGGTCTCTGCTGCGTTTTCGAGTAAACAACAATGAACTGAGTGGTGAAGTGCCAAGCATGCTCTTTGGGCTTCCTAACGCTTCCATTATTGATCTAAGCTTCAACCGTTTTCAGGGAAGTTTTGCAAAATTTATAGGAAATGCGAAGAATTTATCAGCATTGTTTTTGCAAAACAATCAGTTTTCTGGCGGGTTGCCACCGGAAATTTCAAAAGCAGCCAGTTTGGTGAAGATAGATCTCAGCAACAATTTGTTCTCAGGTTCAATTCCAGCCGAAATAGGGTACTTGAGCAGCATGAGCCAGCTTTCGTTGCAGGGGAACAAGCTTGACTCTGTAATTCCTGAATCTCTTTCTTTGCTCAAGTCCCTCAATGTGCTTAACCTCTCAAACAATCTACTGACGGGGCAGATACCAAATAGCCTCTGCAATCTCCTGCCCAATTCACTGGATTTCTCAAATAACAGGCTTTCCGGTCCAGTGCCTCTCCCTCTCATAAAAAATGGGCTTATTAAAGGAATCTCAGGCAATCCAGGCCTGTGTGTTCCCATTCATCTTAATTTCTCTGAACTAATCCTTCCACTGTGTCCACAGCCCAGATTTAGAAAGAGACTGAACTGCATATGGGCCATTGCAGTTTCTGTTGTTCTTTCAATTCTCGGAATTCTGTTGTTGGCTAAGCGCTGCTTGGGCAAGAAGAACAAGTTTATAGAGCGCGATCAACTCTCATCCGCCATGCCATTCTCCTATGACATCACGAGCTTCCAAAAGTTAAGCTTTGAGCCGCACGAGATAACAGAAGCTTTGATTGATAAGAACATTGTTGGTCATGGAGGATCCGGGACTGTCTACAAGATTGAACTAAGTAATGGAGAGTCGGTTGCCGTGAAGAAGTTACGGAGAAAAAAGATAAAGGAATCTTCATCCTCAGATAAGATGAATTTTGAAAAGCAACTGAAGGCAGAAGTAGAGACACTTGGGAGCATCAGACACAACAACATTATAAAGCTCTACTGCTACTTCTCAAGCTTGGATTATAACAATCTCCTTGTTTATGAGTACATGCCCAATGGCAATCTCTGGGAAGCTCTTCACAACTCCTGGATCTTCCTGAATTGGCCTTCCAGGCATAAGATTGCGCTTGGGATAGCACACGGACTGGCTTATCTTCACCATGATCTGCTGTACCCGATCGTTCACCGGGATATCAAGAGCTCAAACATACTCCTTGATGCAGATTTTGAGCCAAAGGTTGCAGATTTTGGAATTTGCAAGGTCTTGCATGCAGGAGAAAATTACGCAGCATCCACCACTGTGATTGCAGGCACCCATGGATACTTAGCCCCAGGTTAACTTTATCAACTTTTAAAACAGTTCTTCATCTTAACATCTGTTCATCTACTTTCTTATCAGAGTTGCATTCAAATTTCAAACTAATAGTTGAGTCTCATGACAGAATATGCCTACTCCTCCAAAGCAACCACGAAGTGCGATGTTTACAGTTTCGGTGTAGTGCTCATGGAGCTGATAACAGGGAAGAAACCGATCGATGCCGAATTTGGGGAAAACAGAAACATCATTTATTGGATCTCGAACAAGATGGCAACACGAGAAGGGGCATTGGAGGTTATGGATAAGAGGCTATCAGCCTGCCCATTCAAGGAAGAGATGATACATGCGCTGAGAATTGGGCTGCGGTGCACCTGCAGCTCCCCAGCCCTTCGACCCTCCATGAACGAGGTTGTCCAGCTCCTGCTCGAGCTGGATGCAAGCAAGCATGATGTGAATGGTGGATCATCAATCAAGCTGAAGGATTCGGCTTCTATCACAAAGACTAGTAACTAAATTTAAGCCAAGATTGGTGATCAAAGCTGTACTTGGTTTAGGCAGCCTATTTAGATTAGTTGGACAAGACGTCTAGTACTTAAAAGAAAGCTTTTCGTTCCTCTAATGCCATCTTTTCTCTCTTTTTTCTTTCTTGTTTTAAGATTGAATAAAGTTACTCCGCTAATCTGCACTTTTGAGTGAATTTCTTCTGCAAACTCTCAAGCTTTACGTAACTGAATGCACAAGAATCCATAAAATACTTAAATTTTTTGATATTTTATATGATTGTGTGGCGTTACTCAGTATGAGTAAAGTTATAGAATTCTGAAGGATCTATAACGTTACACAGCTTTGCAATTACGCAGCATCTGGTGCCCTGAATGGCCCTACTTAGGCTCATAAATGTTCTCTTTTTCTCACTTTATTGGATGTGGGTGATATAGCCTATTAAGAATGAGGTGTAGGAGCCTTTCCTGTTTTCCCACCCAAGTGGATTCTAGCTTCTTCTGAGCTTAAAAGTTAGTTGAATTCTGTTGGTGGGACCTATTTAAATAAATATGCGTTATGGGGACCGTATTGCATTATGGGCTACTATAAACTCTCCATTAACCAAAGGAAATGTTTTAAATGTCATGTGTTAAGGAAACAAATTTTTTTTTCTTATTTTTGATATTATTGATAAATACAAACCATCTTTATGCACATATTTTTACTATTTTTTAATAATCAATGTTTCTCGTAGAGCGACAGAAAAGTTTTTAGAAATGAGGCTGAAAAATTATAATATAAAATTTAAGTAAAATATAATAATACATCTTTTCTTATATGATATAATTAAAAATCATAAAAAATCTATCATAAACAAGCAATTATAAGACTTGGACATCAAATTATGTATATATATATATATATATATATATATATATATATATATTTGAGTAAGATAAATGTTTGAACCCAACACCTTGGAGGTTCTTCAATTTATTTCCAGCTAATGTATTGCACATTATAACAAAAAATACCCCTTAAACACACACACACACTAGTTCCAATTATTTATCAGGCTAAAATTTTCCTCCATTTTCAATAGTTTCACTCTGAACTACTCCATTTTTATTGTGGGAGATATAGTAATAATAGTAGCGCTTAAAAGTTTAGAATATCTTTTGACTATGCATAATTCCATTTGAATCCACTTAGAGGTGGAAGAGATCTTTATGAGAATTGTGAGGTCTATATTAATCCTTCTATTTTTTTTATGATTGCTAATGCCACTTAGAGCCATAAACTTCATCACAATTGGTAAGTACAACAACTATGCATCAAATAGATTATTTGATGAAGCTAGTTGCAATTTTCTTCAAAAATCTGAAAGTCATATCAAACAAAATATCTTAACAAAACTATTTATGGTTGACTAATAAACCAAGTAATGATTTCCAACGCTAGAAATATTTTATTGATGTTAGGTAAAAATAAACACAAAAAGTTTTACATAATGAAATTTATGCTCTTAAGAAAACCACATTAAGAGAACAGCCACAAAATAAATACATAGAAACTTTCTTTTAAAAAGCATAGACTATTTTTTTTAACAAATTTCACAAGCAATTTTTTGTAAGCTCGCCTAAACCACACAACATCAAAGTAACTAAACTCATTTACCTTAAATGAGCCCCAACCAAAAGTTTAACTCCATCCTTTGTAACAAAATTTACAATGAGTTACACACGAGTTTATTCTTTAACATTCTTAGTAATGACCTACATTTATGATAGTCAAGATCTCATTTATGATAGCCAAGATCGCATAAATGAGTTACTTGATGTAAATAATAAAAGTTGAAAATTTGACTTCATCATTCAAAAAAATCTAGACGGAGAGTTAATTGAGCCCATTGAATACCAAATACGAGTTATCAGCCTTTCAAATCTAAAGTGGCGTTCTTGAGAAAGAAAGAGAGCCTTATTTCACTCAAGATGAGATATGAATAAATGAAAACAAAGCTCTTTAACTTGAGACCATGATTATACTTGAGCGTATATATTTTATTTTAGCACATCATTAAAATAAAATTAATACATAGTCTCTACACAATATTAATTCCAAACAAATATTAAGATGTCACATAAGACAAATTATCAATCTTTATTTCATCCAAATTTTAGGCTTATGGAAATTAAGATAAATCATAATATAAAGTTTTAATATAGAGGCCCAGAATAAAATTTCCCAATAATCTTACACTTGGGTAACATATATTACCTAATGTATATACATTAATAAATATTTTATGAGCTCAAAATTTACTATCTTTTCAAAGTAGCATCTTCAGACAACCTGGTCCATCAATTAATAATTAAAATAAATAAAATAGATCTTTCTCACTATATTATTTTTTAACAAGACCATAAATGATCACAGTATTAATATAATGTAGCATAAAAAATTCATGCAATATGATAATATATCTTGTATATTTCCAACCGGTCGTATATCTTAGATCAATAAAGTTATGAATAGTATTTCAAATATTTATGCTAAATCACAATTAAAACTGTATAACATTATTTTAGAGTTTTTAGATGATGAGAAAATAATGAAACTTTAGTCTTATAAAAAAAATGTTTATAATAGTTGAACATCATAAATTTACTCTCACTATGCTAGCGTGTCATCAAGATAAGCCACACCCATACGAGCCACATGCTCATAAAAACAATTTAGATGATAACTTTTTATAAGTAGACCCGCAATCATAAAATTTGTGCTTATATGTTCAATTAACACTTGAGAACTATAAACTATTTCGTTTGCAACACAAAACTTTATATTAATATGCTTTGATTTTGATGAAGATCTATTATTCTTTGAATGTAGCTCTATGACTATATTATCATAATTTATTTTTAATTATCTTTATAGACCATCAGCTATATGTAGCTCAATGATAAAATTTCAGAGTCATATTCCTTGATTTGATTTCTAATAATAAGTTATGAATTCTGCTTGCATTATAGAGGAAGCTATGAGTGGAAGCTTGACACTTTTCTAATACACAACTCCACCTTATATGAAATGTAGCCTGTAATGGATCTTCTACTATCGAGGCAACCATTAAAATCTATGTCAGAATACCCCATGATTTTCAAATGGTCTTCTCTCTGATATGTAAGCATAAAAAATTTTGTACTATCTAATATTGCACAACAGGCTTTTTTACTTTCTAATGATCATCCGTTCCAAGGTTACATAGATATCTATCAAGCATTGCAATAATCTATGCAATATTCAAACGTAGACAAACTTGAGCACACATAATACTCCCTAATGCAAATGTTGTTTCGGTTCTTTTTTGTAACTTGAAGTCACAAACCTTTTTAATTATCGTCTTAAGATTCTCTTTTCAAATAGTCCTCTTATTTGAATCTTCGGGACGATTCTGAGAAGATGATGGATCAAAAAAGAGGGAAATAAAACGGAGATTAAACAAAAAAATTGAAGAAAGAACCTGGAGAACTTATGTGAGGTGAATCTCGTATGATAGGTTAAGAGTGTACTCTCAAATAAGAGCAGATCGAGACATCTTGAACCAAATAGCAACGAAAGAATACTTAAATAAATTACCCATGTAACTAGAGAACCAAATTTGTGTATCTCTCCTGGGGTCAAGAGCACTCCCAAAGGAACATATCTCATTAGGTTAATTACATCTTGGGGGATCCCCAAGAATACTCTTGATTAAAGGAGTCATGCTTATATTTAAGAGGGTATCACAAAGGATGATTATCTCATAAAAGCATTCAAATGCCTTCAAGACTTTCGATAAGTTATAAGAAGAGAGTGAGTCTCTCACGGCTCAAAGTAGATAACAACTTGACGACGATAGGGGCCTATAAAGTAACTGGATTTGATTCGCCCTATCACATAACCAAATCATGCTTAGGAGTCAAAGCCCTTTTTCATTTGCAAATAAATTCAGACTATTTTAACTATAACAAATTAGGGCAGAAAATAAGCAGGCTTCTACTATGAAATTCTGCTGATTATTTTATTCATTTTGGGCCTTTTATTAAACCTTGAAACGTGACACTGATCTTGTCCTTGGGGCATTGTTTTTGCAAGCAAAACTTTGCCATTTGGCTTCCGTAGCAGGAGTTTTTTCTCGATTCCTTCCCCTTCGTCGTGCATGGTGGAACAAAATTATTTTATAAAAACGAATTCCTTATATGTACCAATACCCTTAACTAATTCAAATTACTGTTTTTTAAATACCGGCGTGTGTGTCTGCATATATCTTATTTAGATTTTAATATTTCTAATTAAATTAAAATAACTACATAAAATATTTCTTTTATTTTTTAAATTTAATATTAGTGATTGATGTGCCCTAAACAATTTTTTATCTTTTAAAAAAATATATTTTTAAAATAAAATATTTTGATTCAAATTAAAAAGTATATAACTCCAATTTCAATAAACTTATAATCTTCTGAGTTTTGCAGGACTTATTTTTCGCTCGATTTGAGCGAAAATAATTTACAGGGTAAACCTTAAGATCCCTTTAATGTTATGGTAATTTTACTTTATAACATACCAAACATTAAATTTTAAAAAAATCAAGTAATTATTTCACTCTACACCACTAAAATTCTAAGCAAAACAGCCCCTTATAAGATCCAAGTCTCATAAATCATTCCTAATAAAGCATTATTATTAACATAACAAATATTAATAAACAAATCTAATAGAGAAAGAATAAGATACAATGCCATGAATAAATTGAGAACCAATATTAAAAAAAAATGCAAAATATTAGAATTTCACTTGATCAAAATTCTCCCATTATTAGTGCAAGTAAAATTATGCATGGTGTCCTCAAATGAGAGCATCTTCAAAGTATTAGAAACAGATGAATCTAACAAATTATCAGAGAGCTTATTTTCTAATAGATATATAAATCATCATTATTATCAATGATGAGCATTATGTAATCAGATTTTAATAAAATTAAAAATTATTAAAATCTTCTTCATATAATCGGTCTAAAATCACATGTCTATCATTTGAAAATAAATTTTTTCCCATAAATATGTTATATTTTATTTATGACTCACATTTATTTTAATAACTTATGATATTTATTTTTATAGCTTAAGTTATTTATTTTCTTAACTCATAACT